AAAAAAAAACAACAACAGTAAAACAATTCAAATTTATCGTTGTTAAGGCTCTACTTTTGGCCCTGTCGATCCCTTCCATAAATCACACCTCCTGTGTGACTGTTTTCCCAGGAACCAATAAAAAAATTTTAATTAATCGATTATCTCAGAGGTCATTTTGACCCTGGGCTCAAGATTGAAACAGGAGCAGATGAGGATTTTGTCTACGCATGCACTAGAATAATTAAAATTTTGCCCGTTCGGCGCCATTCTAGTGTTTTGAGTGCGCATCCACGGGTTTGCCACCTTTTTGAAATATCTTTTGAAGAGGGATTAAAGAGTATGCTAATTTTACCACCATGCTAACTCTGTGGATACTCTTGCAATTTGCAGGCTCTTAGGAGAGGATATTTTAATGGTTATAGTGCAAACAAAATGTGGCAAAAGGCCGAAAACTTGAAGTCTGAGATTTGATTTACTAACGATTAAGAGTTAAACATGACACGACAAACCTTGAAGGTTAGTGTTATGGGTCTGTCCACAAGAGGGGCCGGGCAGGCGTGACACATGCCATCTCACCGATTTCCTTCAAACTTTCACGGTTTATGGGGTAACTAAGTCATTCGAGTATACAGAACGGTTCGGGTTCCCGGATAACCCTGGGGTATTAGAGCCCCTACATCAAATCTCTGGAATAAAAGGATAAAATTAGCTCGAAAAATGCACTTCTAACAAACCTCTCTCACATTATTAGAATGTCATCTCTTTCTTTAAAAACTTCTAGTGTCTTTAGTCAACATAATTTCAGAGAATAAATTTTTTTAAAATCTATAATTTGATACATATGTAAACAGATAACGATAAAATATTGACACAACTGTTAAAAAGTAACGAAAAGAGATTAAGTGGTAAACAAATTTGGTTGTAAGATGGTATTGTGTTGTTCCATAAAATGTCTATACCCCTCCTATAGAGGTGGGATATGGGAGGAATGTTTAGGCCATGTGAGAATTTCAGGGAAGGGAAGCGGAGAGGGAGGGAGAGGAATGTATACAAGAAACACCTACTGCAGCAAGTTCGCCATAAAAGACCGACAGACTATTGGAGCTGTTTAGTCAATTTATTTCTGGTTACACGTCATATTTTTGCTGGTTAGGAGAGTAAATTTTGCTTGTTTATGGCCGATAATGTCACCTGTTTCCCTGCATAAGTTATTATAGCTCTAATTCAATTGTGAGTCCAAAGTGATCGGACACAGATTCATTTTTCCTTGTTTCTAACTTTATAATCTCTTTTCTCACCACTGAAACTTTAGAGCTGATGAAAATCGCATCGTAGTTACCACCATCTTGGTTGGTTTCCATTCTCTCTGGAAAAACAGACTGAAGTCCAACTTGACGCATTATTTTCAAAAGCTGTTGATATTCATCGCTTTTTTCACTTGTAGTCGGATGGTGGTTGTCAATATTAAAATCTCCAGCCACAATAAAGTGTGAATCTGAATTAAATTCCTGTAGGGCAGCGGCGAGTTCCCTTGCTTGTGAGAGCCTGGCATTAACTCCATGGGGATCTAAGTGTGTATTAACGACATAAAGGCGTTGGGAATTGACTGAGAACTCTCCAACAACAAAACCCCTATAATCAGTAACTTGTAGGATGGAGTAGTTGAGATAACTTCTTGATGTGGTATTTACTAGAGGTATACGACTAAATATAACAATACCACCACTCTGCCCTACATATGGTGCGGTAAAATCTGCTATTGACGTTCTGTATCGAAATCCACGTTTCGTCATGGCAGCAACCATTAATGTAGCACATTTTGTGATTACTGCGACTCCAGCGTTCAAAACGTACGCCTCTTGAATGAGTACAATGTCAAAATCATTTATTCCTTCTGCAAGACATTCAATTCTTTCTTCAAGACTCAAAATTGTGTGAGGTTTTAAAAAGTCACACCATAAGTTATAAGTAACCAGCCGAAGGTTCTTTCTGTGAGTCAGTGTATGTTGTTCTATTCTGTTACTTTCTTGGATAATGTGACGAAAAAGCATTCTTTTTTCGTAGCTGAGTCCTCCACTCCAGATATTGGAACCAAACAGGAAGATTGCCGCAGCTAACGCGCCAATGACAAGTGTAGGCTTTAAATAGTCCCAAAGTGATTGTCTGCAATGATAGAGGAAAATCAGTTTGTCCCACTGTCATATAAAAGTCTCTTGTTCAGAGCTAGTTTTGTCATTCCTATGGGTAAGAATGCTATTACGTTTTTTTACGTAACTTCCTATCTAGAAGAATACTTAACAGTGTAATTGGTCCTTATTGTAACCGTGTATTGTAACCGTGTTTTGTAAAGTCGCATTAACACTTAATTTTTAATATCTGCATGATAGCTTTTTGTGTTCTTTTGTTTCTCTTTGTTTCCACATTTTGTTGGTATAAATAGCTTTTGGTGCGTGAAGGGGAAGTGGTGGAGGAGAACGTTGCAGTAAACGAGTAGGTACAGAAAGACTCATTTGTGGTGTAGAGCAGTGTACAAGAAAATAGAAGAAAGATAAGAGACGAAGAGTAAACGTCACAATACAAGCAGCTGTGCACGTTTTACGGGTGAGAAAACTTTACTCGGCGCGCGAGTTTGCTACAGGTTATGTTGAATTTTATATGGAAGTGTCGTGGTGTGTCGGATGTTTTAGGGAATGGTTCTGATTATGGAACGTTATTATTCATGAAATACTGGAAGTGGAGTGGACTTGCGCTGTAAAAGACGTCTGCCTCGGCGGTGACGTGTTGCCTGCCAACGTCGCTCGACTCTACATGTTCCCCTTTGCTTTGCCTCCGAGAAAATTGGGGGTCTTGGGGAACCAAACTGATTGTTTCCTTTTGTACAGAAATGTCAGGTAAAAACATTGAGCATTTGCTATTTCGCTGTCAGTCATGCATTTTAACCGATCCCAACTTGCGCGATTTTATAGAGTCGTGAAATGAGTGACTTGCTATAGTGGCGAGCTGCAGCGTTAAACAGGAGAGAAAGGCTGAGCTACAGTAATTGATGAAATTGCTGAAACTTAACTGAAGGAACCTCTCGCAAACGAAATCTGAGGGAAGCAAATAATAATAAAAAAAATTGAGACAACAGAGGTAGATAAGGAGAGAAACAGAATGTAAGCCCATTTTCACGGGTTACAGGTGAATAGTTTGACGATAGGTACTCTCAGTCGCTGATGCTGTTTCGACTTGTCACGCAGTAGACGTTGCGTGACGAGACAAAAACAAAGGCTGCGAGGGGAGCTCCTGCTAGGAAAATTATTTACCACTTACACTACTAAAAAAGATACCTAAACGAACTGATATCGCTATATGACATCAATATCCGACCCGCCGAGCCTCAAGCTAGACGGTAACGGATCAAGGGTGCTTAATTAAAGGTGTCTGAAGTAACTTGATTTGAAAGACTGGTAAAACAATATAGAGCGGCGACTGCCCATAGAACTCGCACACTGTTATCTGTTATAAGATCAATAACAGCTATAGTCCAGTGTTTAGATGCCAGTTTCGCATTTGCATGACAAAAAATAAAGAAACGCTATGCCCAGCACAAAAATTCTGGTATAAAAATAGTCACTCGAAAAACCGCTCAAAATAATTTGTATGATCCGGTAAATACTCTATCAAACAGTAATATTTACTAATATAACCACCTATCACCCCTCCTTTGGCTTTAATAGTCAGTCTCTCACTCCTCCCTGAGTAAAAAAGGTCCAAAACATCGGTGCAAAAATGGTCCCAAAAAATAGTCCAAAAAATAGTCCAATAGTCCAAGGGTCCAACAGTCCAGTCCAGTTCACTTACCTTGCCCATAGGCTCACATAGACCGATCATGTACATCAATTACAGTACTGAGCTTTTATTTGCATGCCCCTCTTCTATTTTCTTGATTAAATATAATTTTTACATTAAAAGAAGAGGGAAAGTGTGGCGGATATGCCTGTAGATTAGTACTTACGAAGTATTTTCCATTTGCATGCGACGCCGGCCCAAGAATTCGATAGCTCTAATGCGACTGTGGTTTTAAAACCTTTGCTTTGTTCGTCAATGTTCGGCCGGCGGCTGGCGCTCCTGTAAGTCGAAATTACACTGCAGATGAAAACGTTTCAGTGCTGTTCTGTACTGAGCAGAGAAATATCTATTCCAGTAGAGAAATAGTGTTAACACGGAATCACTCCTTCACTGATTCCTTCAATCGCTAATGATGAAGACCAGATACTGGTGTTTCTTCTTTTAAATTGCAAATCTTTCGATAGAAGCTAGGAGGAGAGCGACCAAAGAAATAAAAATTCGTCACTAATAACATCAAAGCAGTGACTCTGCGCTTACAGAGGTAAAACGAATTATTGGACGTCGAGAGAACGAAGAAATATCGACAGACAACACAGTAAATTAAGTTCTTGTAAATTTAGTGCTTGACGGCCAATCTGATCCGTTTCTTAAATTCACAACAAAGGGGAATAATAAGTTTGTAAATGAGAGTGATTTCACCTGCTTATTCCCCAACATTGGATTTCACGTTTTCTGACGAATATCGGTCTTATTCAGACACTCGGATATTTTAAAGAGTCTTAGGACAGAGTCCACGACTATAGATGATCTACACGATCTGCCGATGCACAATTAACCAATGAAATGAAGTGCGTCACTGACAAACTGTCACTGATTTGTTTGAATTTTATCCAGCCGTGATTATTGTTAGCTGTTGATGGCACATGTCTTACCATGCTTGCCGGATGCTTTAGAACAAAGACTAATGAATGTGAAATTTGTTTTTTTTCCGAGACGAACGTACTATGTGATACAAGAGGCACAAATTCATTTTTTATGTGGACGGCGAAGCTTGCCGCCAAGCTTCTCGCGGCTTTGGCTACTCGTTTCACCGCTCCTCCTTTCTCAAGAAAGCCGCCATCTCTGCATGTTGAATACCTAAGTTTTAAGGTTGATTCACCCACCAATTCGTAAAATGGAAAATTTCACATCTGAGCAACATGACAAACTTAAAATATCACGCTCAAGGGGGTCACTTGAAGGGCTGCGATCAGGTAAAATTACAGAGCGCAGGGCCACTTGTTTTCATCTCATTGAATCACAAAACATCCTTTTGTGTTCCGTATGGTGGATGCTCAAGCGATCATTCAAGGGCTAGGAACGAGTGTTGTCAGTCACGCTCTCCCTGGCCATTGGCCCACAGATCTTATTATGTTTGCTGTCTCCAGTGCGGTCTTTATGCAATATTTGCGGGAACGCAGCGCGAAATACTCCTCGTAGTCAGACGACCAAACGCTTCATTTGTTAACCTGCTTTCGCATGTGTTGGAAAATGGAGCATTCTAGAGCAAGGTAAATGTGGTCTAGTATCGAAAAAAGAGAGACCACGGTGTTGTAATAATGACGCCATGGCTTCTCCCTGGTAATAATGGGTAAAATTTCAAAAAGATGCTTTCGAGTGCACTATTCGAGTGTAAGTAACCGCGAGTGAATTTTTCAGAGACGACAGATGAGCTCGTTTAACTTGAAGTCTTGAAAAACTGACAAGTGCTTATTTACACCAAGTCAAACGAGGAATCATGTCATTACTTATTTACAATTTGCATGAAAAAGGCATCACAGAAAAACAAGACAGACGAAATTTGGACATCGTACGCGCTAATTGTAATTTGCACTCGTGTTTATACAGCTTTGTTTATCATGACTCTGAGGCTAAATGCTCCGATGCCGGGCACGATCTCAAAATAAATTAAATTCTCGGCAGTCAGAAATTTTCATAGAATTTCCACTAGAACGTTCCTGTAATCTTCTTAAGAATAGCACACATTAGTTAAAAAAAGAATGTCAAGCGTTTTCATAAATTATTTTTCTTTATTGTTAGACAAATTCTCCCAGCTTGTGCATCGCTCGGTTGTCGCCACTTAGAAATTTTACACTTCTGGTCAGACTGCCGAGCACGGACTCAAATGGACTAAATGCCCTGCAGTTATAAATTAAAATATTCACCGAATGGAATAGTGAATGAATAATTAATATTATTATCTTGATTTCACCATGATCTCTGACAGAGATAAGTGTTAAGAAGTGTAAACAATCTGTCAGTCTTATTTCTGCTATCACTGATCAGAAGTTCTTTTAAATTTTCCAGGTCACTAAAAATACCAGCTCAACTGCGTAAGAAACATGCACTTGCTGTTGCTACAGTTCCAGTGATGCTCCTTATCATCTACTACGTTTTTAATGGATTACAGGATGATAAAAAAATGCTATTTAATCAAGTTACTCAGCATGAGAATATGAAAAAAGGAAATCCTACTTTCAACTTGGAAAGGAATCTGCTATTGGTGAGTTATAACTTATGGTGCACACTATGGCATTCTCATGGTGTTGAGGAAAGAATTGAAAGTCTTGTTGAGGGAATAAAGGATTTTGACATTGCTCTGATTCAGGAGGCATACATCTGGAATTTTGGAGTGGCTGTGTTCAAAAAATGTGCGTCACTCCTTGTTGTGGAAATGAAGAAACATGGATTTCACTTTAGAACATCCATCTTAGATTTTGTCCCCCCCTTTGGACAGAGTGGAGGTGTTGTTATATTTAGTCGTATACCATTAGTAAGAACAATTTCAAAACAATACAACTCCTCAATCTTCCAATATTTGGTCTATAGAGGTTTTGTAGTTGGAGAGTTCTTCATCAACTCCAAGCCCCTACATGTCATCAACACCCATTTAAATCCTACAGGAGTTGATTCTCGGGTTCAACAAGCAAAAGAATTGGCCAGGGCCATGAAAGACTTCAACCTGAATTCACACTTTGTTGTGGCTGGAGACTTTAACATTGATAACAATTACCCCACAACTAGTAACAGTAGTACGGAATTTAGAAAACTTCTAGAAACAATGACTGAAACAGGCCTCCACTCTGTTTTTCCAGTACGAATGGAGACTAATATTGATGGTGGTAACTATGATGCAATGTTCATTAGTTCTAATGTTGCTGTGGTGAGAAAAGAGATCATTAAGCTGGTAACCAAAAAGAACAAATTTGTCTCAGACCATTTTGGCCTTGCAGTTGAACTAAAACTCTTGTAACATACTTGCACAGTAAGCTTCAATACAGTGTAATTAGTCAGCTGGTACAATACTATTTAAGATACTCCTCATTTATTTATATATCTGAAGGTTGAACTAACCAATAAGACATAACTTTTCTGTGACTCTGAGTTTCATGCTTACGCAATCATCAGACAGATTTTAATGATTAAGATCAGTCTGATGATCGTTTAAGCGTCAAACTCAGAGTCGCAGAAAAGTTATGTCTTTACTGATTACTTGAACCTTCAGATATACCACGCTCTGCGAACACATCGAGCACTGTACGGCAAGGATAGACTATAATCAAGATTTTATATATATATATATATATAATATATATATTCTATTCTGGCAAATGCTATTTCTTTTTCAATCTCGTTTCCTCAAGAGTGTCAGGTTTACTCATTGCAGCTGCCACTTTTATTTGTTATTTGTTAAACTTGAGTCAGTTGCTGGTTCACTGAGAAAAAGAATCAGTGGTATTTTTGCGTTATTATGAAGCAGGCTTCCACTATGTTTTTCCAGTACCAATGGAGACTAATATTGATGGTGGTAAGTATGATGCAAATGTGGTTTATATGATGCATTCTTACTTAAATTTTAGACTGGAATCTTTGTAAACACATGCTCTCATTCTTGATACTTGGCATCCACATGGTTTCTTTTCTATGTTTCAAATTAGTCTTCTGTAAGTTAGAAGGCTAGAGCTGTAAAAAGTTTGACACCTTAAATAAGTTACATGTCAATGTAAGTGTAGGTGATTGTATGTGTATTTGTGGGCTGATCATAAAAACACATGGCAAAACAGTTACTATATGTAATATTTTAATGGCAAAGAGTTTCTTTGAAAGCAATTTCCAATTAACCATCTGCACCAGCAATCAATGAATTTGAATAAGTTTCCTTTGAGACTTTGAATATTCTGTGACACGAGATTACTGATGGCTTATGAGAGAATTTCACAAAAGGGTATCTAATTATTCTACTTGAGAATTGCACAGACAAGCACATCCAGATGGGCATTTGCTGAAGCATTCAGGTAAAAAGTGCACTGGTGCAGAGTTAGTGCCTGTCACCTTTTTTACCAGCCACCTGACAAGAATAAATAATTAAAAACAAATTACTTTTATTGATTATTACAATATAATTGTTAAAACAAACATTTAGATAAATATGTGACAAATTAATAACAGTAAAATAAACAAAAACAGTATTAAATTAAGTAAAATAACAATAAAATGGACAAAGTAACCAATCTTTGTTAACAATGTAACTGGAGGTTTCTTACCCTTTTAAATCCCTCCATATTGGTTGAATCCAGAGGGCTGCCAATAAATCCAATATACTCCACAACAGTTGTTTCTTCATTGCCTTGGTTGTTTTGAAAAAATAACTACAGAAAACACAAATATTGAATAAATACTATCACAAATAATTCATTGTTTTACTGTGTGAATAAACTGAGGCAACAGCCAAAGAATTGTTGTTTCTCTCATGCCAATTGATCTACAGGCTTAGTCAGTCACAACAAGTTGTCAGGACAAATAGCTGCAGAATACACACCTATAATTTTTTCTCTAGTCCATAATTATACCAAAAAAAACCTGGCAAAGGACTGGGTTGTTACAGAACTGTTACAGATGACTTTCCCAAAAAAACTTATATGAAAAATTAATAATTATGCAATGTGTCAGTGTTCAGAGGATAAACAGGCTACTAGTGAGAGCAAAAGAAAGACTGTAAAGAACACAGCTTGTATCAGTACTTCAGCTTATCAAATTTCCTTGCTTTTCATTGGCTAAGGTGAAAGGGTTAGAAAAACAAACTGGTAAATTTAACATGTATAATCCCTCTTTTCAAGATTTAAGGAACATGAAGTAATCAAAAAGAATTCAATTTAACTAACCGTAAGGCTTTGGACATTTTGAAATTTGACAAACTTCAGTGGAATGATTGCATCCTCTGTTAAATCTTCTGGTGTTAACCTATTTAGCATGGAGTGGTTAATATGGCAATACAGTACATGGCTAAACAAGACTAATTATCACAGCTACTGCTATGAGCTTATCCCAGTTTCTGTGACATGAAGTGACACGAGTATTGTGACTACTCCTGGATGGGTGCAAGTGGTAACATCCAAATTCAATACCAGATACATGTAGTTCCCAGCAGGTTTTTAAATTTACATTTTAATTTGCCAGTAAACATTTACACCACGGATGCCAGAGTTAAGTGGTTCTTTTTTTTTTTAAGAACACAAATGGGGTAAGCCACCCAGGACTGAAACACCTCAAAGTTTGTGATTAGGGTTTACTTGTGATGACCATAAAGGCTGCTGTATATATCTTGTGTTACTTTTACTGGTACAGACAAGAAAATTATCGAAAATAAAGATGAAGGCTAACTAAGAAGCCACTTGTTCTTATTTGGAACAAATTCAATTGAAATGTCAATAGTTCACTTTGCATCTAAATGTTTTTGGAAGAGAAGTCAGAACAATATGGCATACTCAAGAGTTTGCAGTGCTTCAAAGCTCTCTGCTGAGTCAAAATCCATGCTTTTTGTGTGGTTAATGAACAACTTGACTGTCTTTGGTCCTCTACCTGCAGTGAGTGAAAGAGAAAATAAATCAGAAACATTTTATAATAAAATCTAGTAGGTTGAAATGTATTAACAAGAACTGGAAGGTTATTGACCCAGCTGTCAGCACCATAAAATGACCCTTTTTTGATTGAGACTTACCATTTCCTGGTCCTTGAATCTTGAGTGAGTGTAGCTTGATAGTCTGATTGAAGGCTATTGTTATAAGTAACTAAAAAGACAATTGTAGAAATCCTCCATTACTGATCATTATCATAACTCAAACAAGGAACATTGTGGCTTGATGAACTTTACAATTCATTGAAGTTATGAGTGTTTTGAGAAAATGCAGTCAGTGGTCAGAGCCACAAATTCTTAGTCTGGAAAGTGTAGCTAGTGTAAGTGTGGATGACAGCCTGGGTATGAGACAACCTGGTTGGGTTCAACACATTTAATTTTGTTCTTGGGTAGGAAACATTACTTTCTCTGTGCTTCTCTCCAAAAAGGGATATAGATAAGACTGAAAAACACGTTGAATGTAAGGCTGGTATTACTCATGATTAATTAGCTCCCCATCTACAAGGAGTCCAGTTCTTGAGTCACAAAATAATGCTTTGTTTTATGGGCAACAAGAGTATTTAAGCTTTGGACTTACAGCTCATCAGATCAATACGTTATTTAGAATTTCCAAACAGCTATCCTCTTATTTCAAAATGAGCCCCAGTGCAAAACTTTTCAAGTGAAAGTGAGTTTTGTTTGCATCATAGTAATCATTAATTTTGAATTCATATCAAAGGCTTCATGGCCTTGACTTCATTTTAAAACAAAGGCATAAGGTACCTTTGAAATGGTCTATTCAAGTACAGCTATTAACAGGAGTAGATTGTGTTCCTCAGCACAGACTACATGTTAATGGTGAATTAGATTGTTTTGCAGTTTATGTACCTGTTCATCACAGTCACTTTCCAAGAAGTCAGGTCCCTTTGCCAGAGCAGCTGACAGATGGTGGTCATCACTTTCATTTAAACATTCACATCCACTCTTGTCAATAAATATTCCTAAATCCATCTGAAACATTAGTATTGATATCATAATTAATACTTAAAATGGATCCAATAAAAGGCAATTTTTGTCAGTTGTGATCTATGCAAAGATATCCCTCATTAAATAATATAATCAGCCCTAGTGCTTCTTGTGTCTTCCATATAATTTAATGCTGTTACATACAATACATTTAAAGCACAATTCACAAGGGGTGTTGTGTGCTCTGCACAATCTTTGAGATCTACATTTATTTTATTATGTAAGCCTGCGATTTTCTGGTAATTTCTAATAGAAGGTACCTTTAATATAATTATACCTACCAGTATGCTCAAATATAGTTGTACAAAGTTAAGTGATTGTGATTACTTCAAAATTGTAAAGATTGTATGAGACTTTCATGAAATCATGAAAATTGTATGATACTCTTGATTTCATGCAAATATGTAAACCATTTGCTACCTTTCACATAAAAAACTTGGAATGCTTTTAACTTTGCATGTTGTTTGTGCACAACATTCTTCATATTAATTTTCCTAAGTCTGCAGTTTCATTTAAATGTCAGCTGTGTACATGTACAATCAATTTTTTAAGAACTCCATGACTTACATATCCCTTAACTCCAGCCTCACTATCACTATCTCCAATCCATTGAATTATTTTTTCCTCCAGTTTCTTAGGATCAGCTCCTGACATTTCATCCACCTTCACTTTGCCCTTAAAAAACTGGAATGTGGGCATGGAAGTCACCTTTTGCCTGGCTGCTATGTCCTACAAAAATTCATTAAAAAGATACCAAAAGATGGTAAATATACATACATACATACATACATGCATGCATACATACATACATACATACATACTTTATTTGCAGGTTGTAAAATAACAACAAAATGCTGATGTGGACCTGCTATATAATAGTATAGAATACAAAAAATATGTAACAATTAAGTGGGAAAAATTTAAGACAGTATAACAATAATAAAAGAAAGACATTTCAAACATTATTATTTCAAACTAACAAAAAATATATGAATGCATTCATGTTGTTGTTGGTTGCTGTTGAATTAGTACCAAATGAAATTTTCAACTCTATCAAAAAAGAAAAAAATAGTCCTTTTGCCACAGATGTGGAACAAAGAAGAAATCTGAATCCCTGAAATATTTGGATTTTGTAATCATGTATACAGCAGCCTATCACTGATCTAGATGTGTACTGTGTTTTAAACTGGTGTGGCAGCAAGGGAAGTGAATAGCAAAAAAGAAACACCAGTAATGGCATTAAGCAGAGCAAGTGCTGGCTCTCAGCCTGAAGCACCTCCTGCAATCTGTGTACCCACTGTGACAGACTGTTACAAGTGAGGATTGGACTTAACAGCCATCACCCAATGAAACATGAGGTTGTGGTTGTCATCAAATGCTCTAGGGAGAGTAAGAGTTTTTCACTAACTCATAATTGAAATTATCACAAATTACATCAATTGAGACAAGAGCCTTCAAGCATCCAGTAATAATTCTAAAAAAACAACTTTGCTTTGATTTGTTTGTTTTGTATTAATGACATTATGTATGTCAAAAGTTTACTTACATCACATTTGTCCACATCAACTTTCAAAAAAACTGCTGCTGTATACTTAGTACTATAATTTGAAAAAGTTGGAGCAATTGATTTACAAGGGCCACACCTGAAACAAAGAAAACAAATACCATGTAGCTTTAGGTTAAATATTAGTAAAATTCTTAGGGTTACTTACTTCTAATGAAGTATAGCAGATAATGAGCAAGCATCCAGATTGCGGTAAAGGGATTTATCTGACAATCTACGTACTAAACACCCTGAAAATACCGATCAGATACATCACTGTGCGCAGAACTAGTTCGATTATTCCATGCCAGAACACTTCCTGTAACATTCTTCGCATCTGCTTCAATGGCAGCGAAATGACAACTTGCTTAATAAACGATCAAATAAATGACAAAAGAAAGATGTCAATTTTGAGCAAAGACACACTTCTTGAAAGTGGGAAGTTATTTAAGAAAAATTTCCAAAGCCGAAGTTTGGATACATGTGTTGCAAGCTCGACTCGATGTCCAAACTTTCGGGATTTGTTTACATCAAAAATCATGTGATACTACACGTGAAATCTAAAGCCCAAAAGGTGAATTAAGAGACAAGAAATCAAGGATTTGGATTTTAGGGACCACACACATGTAGAAGCAACATGTAACTAGAGTTGCGGTTAATCAGACCTACTATAGAGAAATATTTTCATTTTGCTGTCATAAACAATACTATGCTGCACTACTTTTTGTACGTATTTTGTAACTATGTCTGCAATATGCATTATTCTTCATATTTAGAATATTTGCTTCTTTTTTCAGTTATTCAAAAAATTAACACGATAGGACCCTCTGTATGAGCCTGGAAACTACAGGCAGGTGGCCATGCTCATAATGTGTCAGGACTGTCAGTTACTTTAGGTACATTTACATGTAAATCTAAACAGAGGAATGAAATATATTTCACCCTTTCACTCCCATGATCTAATCAGTAATTCCCCTTACTATCTGCCATATCATTCTCATAATGTCAGCTAGGAGAATTTGGTATTGGACCAACAAATAATCCTCGGATTATAATTTTTCTCTATTCTCATTGCTTGTCCACTGAATATTATATTGATATTGCAAGGAGAAATTGTGTCTTAGTCACTCATGGGAGTTAAAGGATTAGTCGATTAGCACAAAGTGCTCACTTGCAAGTTGTAGACACTAAACTATAACCCTTCATTAGAATACAG